TTTTGTTCATCCCAGATCAACCAGGTTGATTAAGCTTAAATTGCATTGACCGTACATGACAATATTTATATTGCTTGGATGATAAAGTCAGCAAGTTGCAATTAATGAGCTATTTCAAAGCTCTTCTATTTAAGAGCTCTTGTTCTACTCTTTATAAGACATTTTCCTGCTTTTGACCTGAGAGAGCCAAGAGGAGAGGGAGAGAGAGGGAGAGAGAGGGTGAAATTTATGAGGGAGTGTTTGTGAGAGGGATTCACAAAGGTTGCTCCAAGTAAGGTTCCAAGGTGTTTTCTCCAATCTTCATCCTTCGTCCTTGGGGCTTCAAGGGAGGTCTACTTTAGCAACTTATTGAGGTTCTCTGCCTGCTTCAAGAGGAAATAAAAGGAGTTGGGTTCTCTTCCTCACTGGGGTCGACGGAAAGGAGGTTTTGTAAAGTCTTCTCCGCCTTACTGGGCGGGAAAAAGGAGAGTCACATTTTTAGTGCAATATCTGTAGGGCACCTCCGGGCATTGGACATAGGTCGAGTTGACCGAGCCTTTATAAAATTTTTGTGTTCCTTTCTTACAACTTTCCACATTTACTTTTTTTTGCACGTTGATTTCATTGTAGTTATTTTGGTTTGTGATTGTGCTTTTGTTAAAGGTTTTTAAAATACTAATACACCCCCTCCCCCCTCCTCCTCTTGGTTAACCTCGGGCTAGTTCTTAAGGGCTTAACATCCCTAACGAACTTTCATGGATAACCATCCCTAGAAGAAATAAAGGAATTGTATGAAAGTATAATGTGGACTTCCGTCATCCTGGAGAGAATGGTTTGCTAAACACCTAATCCTATTTTTATAAAACTTCAAATTTTTAGGTCAAAGTCAAATGTATGTAAGGTAGATAGATCTTATTAAAACTGGAATCGAGGTTTTAAGTTTAGAATTTAATGTTGAATCTAAAGATAATTGGGGTTCAAATGCATCTTACTAATGTAATTTGAAACACATTTTACCTAGACTTTATTTTTTTAAGCTAGTAATGTGCACTAAATGATGATCCTTCTAATAAACTCACAACATTACACCCCTATACCAAAAGGAAATGCATACCAATACTCATCTATTATGATGTTTTTTTCATCTCATAACCTTACGTGCATTAGTTTGTGTACATAGCAAAAAAGTAAATATGTTTCCATGTATATAATTTATGTAAAGGAGTTGGAGTGCAAAAGAATAAAAACCATATAATCCTAGGCACCCAATATGTATGTCTAATAAAATGCACATGCAATGCTAAGAAACCTAGAAAAAGTTTGTAGTTTATAATCACAAACATTTATATCTATACATATATGTGGATATGTAGAAGGTATATAAATTATGTAATGAAATAAGGTCCATGGAAATTGCGTTAATATATTAACAAGGGTCTAATATAAAGTAAAGGTTATGAAGCTCCATTGGGAATAAGCATGGATTTCAACACCTATACAATGATGCATTTCATTATAAATGTAAATTGCTTATTTAAATGCCTTCAATATCTTATAATTTTCTGGCTCCATGTATGTACAACAACAATAACAACAACAGCAACAACAACAACAACAACAATGATATCAAGCCTTTATCGCACTACGTGGGGTCAGCTACATGAATCCTTTTTCTCCATTGTGTCCTATTAAAGGTCAAATTATCATTTAAATCTAATAAAGAAAGGTCATTCTAATATTTTTTAACCATGACTTTTTAGGTCTGCCTTTACCTTTCTTAACATAAGTCAAATCTAATATGTCTACTATCCTAACCGGGTCACGGGAAGGCCGTCATTTTATGTGACCAAACCATCTAAAGTGACTCTCTCTAATCTTATCTTCTACTGAAGCTACTCAGACCTTTTCACGTATATGCTCATTTTGTATCCTATCTCTAAGGGTAAAGCCACTCATCCACCTTAGCATCCTCATCTTTTCCACACTTAACTTAGTATTATGCTTCTCTTTTAATGGCAAACATTCAGCACCATATAGCATTACAGGCCTCACTACCATCTTATAGAATTTCCCCTTAAGTTTGAGGGGTACTTTTCTCTTACACAACAAGCCCGATGCATTCCTCCACTTCAACCACCAAACTTGAATTCTGCTGATAATATCCCCATTTATTTCACCATCACTCTGAATAATAGATCTAAGATATCTAAAATGTGTACTCTTATTAATGACTTGATCGCCCAAAGTCACATTCTCCTCACTAGGTCTATTACTACTAAAATTACACTCCATATATTCTATTTTAGATCAACTCAAGTGAAAACCTTTTAGTCTCTAATGTTGACCTCCATAATTCAAGTATACTTTCAACTCCCTCTCTAATCTTATCAACAAGTGGATCAATATATGTACAAGACATAAAATACTAAAATTAATGATCCTTAGCTTAAGAAGAACATTATATTTTGACTTATAAACTATAAAAACACTTTACATTCATAACACTTAACAATTCACAACTCTTTATAATTTATATTTACATTTAAATTTTAAAAAGACACCACTCCCTAAAAGTGTTAGTATTAAAAAAAAATTATGTACAATATACAATGTATATATAATCATCTACATGAAATCACATAGTGAAATGTACATAAAAAAATCACATCTTCACACACCCACCACAATAGTTTCAAATCAAATAATTATAATTAAATAAACACACCTGCCAAGCCTAAACTAGAGTTTATTATCCTATCAAGAAATTATAATGTTTGTACTATTTAGTGAAATTTATTTTTATTTATATTATCTTAAATTCCAGTAAAAATATAAGCTTTAGTGATGTTATGTAGCAATGTCTTAGGAACAAATATTATAATGCAAAGAACCAGCACAACATTATAAAAACTATCAATATTGTATCATTATCAATGCCTCAGCACTAGATCAATACATTACAGCATCAGAGCTTCAAGAAAATATCATATAATTTGGAGCCCTAGTGAAGTAAAGGAAAACACCGCTATGCAATGTATTAAAGTGAACATTTCAAGGTTGGAGCGTCAGAAAAAAATGTAATTAATTTATGGTTAAAGCAACAACCTCAAAAGGTCTTTAACCCTGGATGACGAAGTCAAGTGCTAAAGCACCAAACCTTTGAAGCTTCGTGGAATAGTTAACTCTTAGATGCACAATGTCAGATTAGTCAAGAATCACGTCAGATCAGGAAATTATTGTACCTAGTCAGTATAACTCCACAACAAAGAATATTTAGCAGCATGAATAATCTAATTTCATATTGTAATTCTACATCACCATCATGTCAAATGCCATAGTGTTTTAGTCTATTTATGTTAAGTATAAATTACTTTTTTATCTTTTTTGTGGGCAGGATAATGTGTTTTTTCAAGAAATATATAGGAGAGTCTAACATAGACTAGAGAATAGTGAGATACATCATTTAGAGTGTCTAGCCAACATTGTAGTAATAAAATTACTAATTTGAGAGGAAAGGAGTGTGGAGAGGAATATTGTAAGGGGAGATTCACTTTGAGATGGGTCCATCTAAAGAATATATTTAACATTCTTCATTTGGGGAGATTTTTTTGTGATCTTTTCCACTTTAGTTTATTTCTTAAGCAAGTAATAAATTTTTTTGTTGTTCAATCTTAACTCAAATGCTGGTTAAACCCATAGTTTTGGATTAATGATGCGAAAACCTTTCTAATTCCTAATATATAATCTTGTGTTTTAATGTATGAATAATTATTTTCAATATCACTTTCTCTTCATTAAATGTATATAGTGGCAATGTATAAAATTTATAACTAGTACAATACATTACCTCGAAGGAGGAGTATTGGAATAATTAGGAGAACTAAGATGGATTGCTTGCATGCCTAGACATAGAAAGTGAAGTATTCTAGGGTCTATGGATGTTAAATAAAATTAGGAAGGACATAAAACTTCATCTACATCATTACAAGCTTGGCAGAGATCTAACGACTCCTAAGTTCTGATTCATAACCAATGTAGAGGAGTATACTTAGAGAGAACTTTGTATATTCACTAACATTTGTCCAAAACACTTTAATTACTAGTTTCTTCATTATTTTATGTATTTCTCATTATGGATAGAGATTACCCTTAATTTATTTTCTAATAATAAATACCATAGTTTAAGTAGATGGTACTAGAATATTTTTTTATGTAGTATAGAATTTTCTTGTGGGACTGACACTCTCTTATACACTTTATAACTTAATTAGCATGTGCACTTGCATTTTTATAAGGGTTAGATCCAAGAAAACATAAACTAAACACTAACCTCTATCGAGGTTTTGGCACCACTAACAGGAACATTATTCATGTTATTGCAATTATTCTATATAGTCAAAAATGCTTCATACTTAATTATGCTTGTTTCATATTTTGTTATTGTGATTGTGAGTAGAAAAACTATGATTGTTTGCAGAATTATATTCTTTAAGTTTTTCCTTGTAATTAAATTCCAGTGATGTTGGTGTATCCATAGTAAAGCTGGTAATGAACCGATATTATTAGACTTAGAAATTAAAAGGACCTAAATAAAAAATAAATAAATAAAAAGACTTTAGCACTAGAAATGACTGAACTAAATCTAGATTAGGACCGACTTAAACCTCCTAGGAGTATGCCAATCTCTGTATAGATGGAATTCATTAGAGTGTCAATCGATCAACCATCTAAGCCAATACTTTGACCTGAAACCCATTATTAGCCAAATGGTATAAAGTTTTGAATTTGGAATAACTCTGATTGAGGCTCCCAACCTAAACTAAGTTAGATATCTAAAAATTTGCATGACATTCAAGTATAAGTGTGTCGGTGAAGAAACTATTAGACTTAATATGTTTTTCAATTTCATTAGGGGACAAAGAAAAAATACTATTAAATTCCTTGCCCGAGGCTCTATAACTACTTAGAATATGTTGGCCCATAAGTTTATAGCAAAAAATTTCCCACCATAAAAAATTTCTAAACATAGAGAAGATATTACTTCATTTTTTCCAAATTAATGGATAGTCAATTTATGAGATCTGGGAGAGATTCAAGGAGATACTTAAAAAGTGACATCATCATGCTTTTTTACCTTATTAGCTTATTTTTTAGACTATTTCTAATAAGCTTGTAGGATCCCTTATTTTTTTTAGATTTCAAATTTCATTAATAGAAAAACCTATTACGAACTACAAAAATAAGAAAAATCATCACATTCCTTCTTTAACAAAGTAATAAGAATGAATGTTACCAAAAGCAAAATAATCCCAAGTAAAGTTACTACGAGAGCATAAGTGGCACAAAGATCTGCCACTTTATTACAAAGTCTAGGAACATCACGTAGAACAACATTTTCAAATTTATGTAGAAATAAAAGATCCTTATTCCAAAACCATCCTGCTTCTAATTAGAAGCCTTCAAAGAACCACATATCATCTTAATGATATTTGCATCGTCCCCTTCAACTCCCACTCCTTCGTAATCCAATAACTAATCTTGCAAATTTTCTCAAATGAATAAAATAGCTTGAAGTTCCAATTGGGTAATATCTCAATGCTTTTATAGTTTACCAAAAGCAAGTTGTAATCTACCTTTATGATCCATTATAACTCCTCCAAGATTCAAACTCAAAAAATTAGCTTCAATGTTGAATTTGATCCAATCAAGTGGCAAGAGACGCTAAGAATTTAAAAACACTGAATGGAGATTAACATCCTAATTTCTAGCATTGGATTATGCCTTAGTTATGCACCTTATATTAAAACATTTGAAGCAATAAATTAAATAGATGGCATTGGAGCACTATGCTTAGTGGTATTCCTATTTTTCCATGAAAAGAACACTGTAGTATGATATATTCGAATAATTTATGTTAATAATTTATGTGACAGCCAAAGGCTCTTTGATGTTAAAGCCCTTTGATGAATCTTTTTCCTTTATAGAAGAGGTGAAATAAAATAATTTACAATGGCTATTTGATAGGGTGAATTATAAGAATGTAAGCGAGTTTCTATCAGTGAGATGCTTTATTAATTTTTACTGCTTAGTTAGCTACTATATCTAAGAAGTTAGATAATTTGGAGTTAGTTCTTCATAATGATCACCTTTTCATTTGTAAGAGGATGAATTTAATTTTATTAGTGAGTCTAGAGCTCAAGGGATTGAGAATGTGAATTTAATTAGATGACCTAACAATTCCTATTCTAATACTTATAATCTTAGTTGGAGGAATAACCCAACTTTTAGATGGAAAAATCATGATGATGAAAATTAATGGAATGCAAGTCAATTAAAACGTAGTAGAATTGTAATAATCCATATTAACCATTCATGAATTCTAGATATTCTTTTTCGATAGGCTTTAATAAAAAAAAATAGTTCATAGATAGGAAGATACTTTTGGAGGATATAACACTGTTTGGGAGACAAATTACAAGGTCAAGCTACTTCCATTAAGAATTTTGGTAATTAATAATGACATTTTGTAATTTCCTTTAACAGTAGGCCTTATAGCATTGTTTGTGAGGAAATGAAAATCTATTGATGTTATCTTAGCTTTGTTATTTATGTGTGATGTTTTTCATGTAGTTTTTTGTGAAAAAAGTCATGTGTGTTATTTATAAGTTTATTAATGATGGTTATTACTTAAAAATTAAATATTTTTTTAAATAAATTTTATTTATGTGGTGCTAAAATTGTATGTGTACCATAGTGCTACAATATAGAGCACTGTAATGTTGACTTATTAAATATCATGACATCTAAATATGACATTATAATACTGAATTCTTAGGATATTGTTTGGGGTACAATGAAACAAAATTATTCAATTAAGCAACACAACACTACTTTGCTCTTATAAGTGCTTTAATGTTCACTATAATAGTGTCTTGTGGTTAGATCAATAATTTCTAAAGTGTTGGGATATTATATTCAATGCCATTATACACACTTAACTTTTTCATTATGAATGTTCATAGAGCATCACATCACGACTTTCAACACCATTATATTAAGTCAAAACAATAATTATTTTACTATAGCATCATATTGGTTGTCAATACTCAGTCATACAATGCTTGTACATGTTAAATATCATAGCAGCCTGATAGTAAAAAAGCTACAATTTCATCTTCAAATGCCTGTGCAGCTACACCATATTTTTTTTCATATATGTTTCGAGTGTTAGTTTAATAAATTTTCATTTAGCTCTTCCTAACACGACACTGCCACCCTTCATAGTGCCATAACACACGTGATATTTTATAAATAAAAGGGGCTTATTTTCATTATTTTCATAGAGCTTGTGTTCTTCTATTTAAACTATAATGTTGTGTTATTTTTGCACTCTTTAAATCTTTTTAATGGCATCAAATGCTATCAGTATAACTTCTAATGCTTTAAAATTTAATCTGATTTTGGAAATCGAGGGTGCTGACTAGCTTCAGTTGAATTGATCTTCTTGGCACCCTCCTCCTCTTGATTGGATTAAACTGAATATTGATGTAGATCTCTTACAATCCTATGAAGTAGGTATTTTTGGTGTATTTAGATATCACAAGGGAAGGTTTCTTTCAGCTTTTGGATTGAAATGCCTCACTGGGATATAGGATCTTTGGAACTTACTACTTTTTGATACTTTAAGGTGGTTATTAAAGAATGGATGTTGGAAGCTAAAGGATTAATAATAGAGGGACATAATTTAAATGTCATTAAATTTCTTCAAAATTCGGTTGAAAGAGAAGATTGGAATAAAGACAAAGGTGAATTTTAAGACCTATAATTCCTTAAATATTTTGGTTCATTTATATTTTATTTTACTTATAGAAATTATAATAAGTTAGCAGATTACTGTGCTAACTTAGCATTAGAAGGTGATTTTTATTTGGATGATCTTTCTTGTAATAAGATTCATCCTATGTTCATTTCTTTAGTGAAGGAGGAGGGTGGTAGTGATTCTATCACCTAGTAGTTTGTATCTAGGCATTTTCTTCTTTTCTTTTAATGCTATCAGCATTTTCTTCAATAAAAAAAATCTTTTTAATGGCCATAAATTTGCAAGCTAGTATGAAGAGGGTTTCCTCTTTCATTGATAGAAGGTTATATATATCCATTGGGTTAAGTAGATATTTCCTAAGTTGTTTGTTAGTAAAAAATTTAATTCATAAGAGAGGATTCCAAAATTCTAGAGGGGTTGTCAAGTTCATTATTGGGAGTTAGAGATCAAAGACCTTGTGTAAGGATCCTAGTACTCTAGTACTGAATATTATGAGAGAGTTCTTTGCTCATGCTAAATATGCCAAAAATAATAGTTATTTTGTGCAAGGTAAGTGCGTACCTTTTGATCCCTCTAGTATAAATAAGATCTATAAACACAAAGATATAAACTTTGATGATTATAATCATTATAGTCTTACACCCATAGACCCTCAAGAGATTTTATGAGTGCTAGCTAATCCTAGGAGTAGAACGATGTGTAGAAGGAGAGATGGAAATGTTATTAATCTCCCTTCTTCATATTTACTCAATTATCGAAGGCTTGGAATTACTTCACTTCTTCTAGAATCCTACAAAGCAAAAGTATTAGTGAGATGACCCTTGATAAGTTTGCTTTAAATTATACAATTCAGGTGGGTTACTCAATTGATATTGGGAAGTTATCCTTTCATTTTTTTTAATTCTATATCATTATTGGCTCACTTCAATTGGTTTAGTTCATCTTCTATTGTCTATTACCTTTGTGTCACCGCCAATGTGTTAATTGAGTCCGATGAGAAGCAAGCTTTTCCCAATTTTCCTCTCAACAAGCAAAAAAGAGAGAATTAAGAACATAGATGAAGAGGAGGAAGCAGCCTAGTGAACACCATTTTTCCAGTTAGCCCAACTCCGATTGGAAGTGTCCCCGAACCCCCAAATCTTTAGTTGATAAGGTTACAAATCTTAGGTCGTTGATGGAGGGTGTTACTTCATTTTGTGATGCATCTATGGAGTGGTAGCAAGGTATGTCACACCAGGTTTCCCACTTTATGGACATGTAGGAAAGGTAATACTACTATGCTTGACAATTCAATAAAGTGTTGGTATGTATAGAAAGAGTACATTTGTAGAAAACCCACATTAACTTCAATTTCTACAAGCTCACACTTATGACCACTATATGTGATACAAATCAATATTAGATAATGATGATGATGATGACGACGATGATGATGATGATGATGATGATGATGATGATGTTGATGATGATGATGATGATGATGATGATGTGGAGGAGGAGGAGGAGGGGGAGAAGCAGCAGGAGGAGGATGAGGGTTTTGATTGATAGTGCTTTTTGAATTTTTTTTTTTTTAACTTTATTTGCTTGAGAGAGAGAGAGAGAGAGAGGAGAAGATGATAGTTTTTGTTGTATTTGGTTGTTTCTTATTTACTTTATATTTACCATTTTTTCTTGGGGAGGTTAATGTAGTAGTTGTGGTGGTGTAGTTCCTGAAATGTTTAGTGCATGATGCACTAGTTATTATATTTGTTGCATTCTGATAAGAGAGAGTGATTTATTGAAAGATGCATATTGTACCATCTATAATTTTATTAGAAAAGACATGATTCATTTCCTTTACAAAACTTATTATTTATTTTTTATTATTTGTGTAGTTTACAATATTATTATTTATTGGTCTTTGTAAATTTAAATTAACTTCAAATTTCCTACATTACTTAATTATTGAAATGTCCTCCACAAATTGCACTTTGATAGCTAAGTTAACCAAAATGAATTTAACAATTAAAAACTAATTAAAATTAAGAATAATACAAAGCTATAAGTGCTAAATATAATGAACAAATAATAACAATTTTTAATTTGAAAATTATAATAATCAACTAAGCAAATTATCTGAGTTAGTACTTCTTTGTTAAACGTAAATGGTATAACTCATAAGCACTAACTATTGATTGTAACATTGATTAACTAAGTATAGAGAAAGGAGGAACATTAATTAATTTATTTAACTTTTTATAAACTCAAGTATGGAAATGGTAAAATTTTCCCTTGTTGTGCCGTTTCCAGTGAGAGAAACTCCCATTTTCT